GGGGCAAAATGTGGAATGGCAAAGCATTTAGTTTGAAGAGAAAGATAATAAATTTCTAGAACCCACGCTAAAAGAATTGTATAGACATATGAAATGAAACTAAATTTATATAATTAGAGATATCTACCAATAGCTTTGTCCCTTTTAGATCCATCACTTATTTTTGTCAACAGATTGCCCCCTTCTTATTTACCCATAGCCCAAAACCTTTATAACAAAATTCCTCGTAGCCCTATCCTCATAATTGTTCACGCCCTATGTTTTGGGTCATACTAAAGTTACCAGACGATATTGGCTGCCTAAAAGTCAGGATGTGTATATATATAATGGCATGTTTACTAATTGAATTAGGAGGAATTGAATTGAGGATGAGTTGGATTGAGGAGAATTAGATTTCGGATTCCTATTGAAGTTGTTTACTAAATCATATGGATTGATGGGAGTTAGATTCCGAATCCCTATTGAAGTTGTTAAATAAATCATATGGAATTGGAGTAGGAGTTGTACTAATTACTAAAATGACCTTCTTATTGGGTTAGATGGCAAATTTGGAATTTTTAAAATTGTGTGAGGATTTAATGGGTAAAAATGATGAATTTCTAATGGGTTAGTTCTCTAGGAATTAGAATATCACCTCCCACCCAAGAATTGTATTCCTCCAAAATCAGGAATTCAATTCCTAATTTTGTGTGGACCCTACTTATTTTTTAATTCATTGATGTGAAGTAAACACATGAATCATCTATAGGTGGAATTCAATTCTTGATTATTAAACACACAATAAATGTCATGTTAACTGTTTTTAAATTTGAGTAGGAGAAGCGGACCTCGATTAAGCTAGTTGGCTATTGCAATGAGCTTGCCTCCTTGCGCCCAAATTTGAATCTCTCTTTTCGTAGAGTAAATTCATACATAATTATATATATATACATAATTATTTTTACAATACAAGCGATAATCTAAACTGTTTGGGAAGGGGGGCATAACACACACACACACACACACACACAATCAAGACATCATGGAGATCAAACCTAAGACCACTGGTCTACAAGTTAAGGCTATTTTTTACTTAGCCAGACCTCGTTGGTGAGTAGATTAATTTTTTAAACGATTGTATTATAAAAAATTAAAATAAAAGAGATTTGTGGATGGGAATTAGGCTTAAGAATATGAGTGACAGAGTGGAATTGGAAAATATATGAATGAAATGGAGGTGGCGAAAGAGAAAGAGAAAAGGACATTTGTGCCCTAAAAAGGTGAGACAATCCATGATACAAGGGTCATGATGCATGTCTAGTAAAAGGAGAGCCCAATCTCAATCAATAGGAGATTGCACAGTGAAATACCATTTGCTTTTCCAGTCCTTTTTTATTTGGGAGATTCACTGTTATACCCAATATAGGAGCCAAAATTATAAAATAATTAAAAAAAACCATATATGAAATGGACTTTAGAAACACATCCAAAATCCATTTACAATATAACAAAAAGGCTTTTTACGTCTTTTAAATTACAAAACTGCCATTGATTTCTTAAAACAAACCCAATCCCAAAACCTCATAAAAAAACCCAAAACACTCAATAGGACATCAAAGTAATTTAATAATCAAAATTAAACTCAATAGGGCCACTTGTCTTTTTTGTGTTTTTTTTATATAAATTAAATGACGTAGGATTTATCTATATTATTAATGCTAAGAATAGGTATATGACTAAATATCTCCTTTTAATTTCTTTCTTTGTGGTCATACTCAAGGTCTTAAATATCGATAGTTTCGGAAATATCGGTGGTTCAAAAACGCGGAAATATCGATGAAAATATCGGGAAAATATCGATATCGATAAAAATTGGATAAAAACCATGGAAATTATGATAAATACATGGAAATTTTTAATGAAACTTTAGAAGAAGTTTATTTAGTCAATCATCTATTATTTTGACACAAAAAATTGGAAGGAAATGCATTGCATAGTGAGTTTGTGTGATTTAAGTTGATTATATTGCTACCTGACAAACTCTGTGACTTAAAAAATTTGAAGTAATTAATGAAAGAGAATTAAACACCCCTCAGAAAATTTGAAGATGTAAACCAATTTGATTTTTCATGAAAATTAGGCACTTTACCATGCTTAAAAAATAATAGTGAAGATTGAAAATTAACTAAGAACATAAATAAATTTATCCAATGAAGAATTAAATAGCAAATAATAAAAATGATTATAGAGATTTAAGTAATTAAGCAACAATTGAAGGAGAATTTAGTAATGTAAGTACTTATAATGAATAATAAAATAATTAATAACATTAAATGGATTAAATAAAAAAGAAATAAATTATATTAAGTAATTAAGTCACATTTCACACTTCCCAAATGTTTTCACGTTTCCCTACCTCCCTCTTCCACTTCCCAAGGCTTTGTTTTTTTTCCGTTTTTTTGTCTAACTTCCCAAGGTTGCAAATAGATACACGCAACCTTCTCTCTCTCTTTTGGGCATTCACCCATCTCTCCCTTTTTATTTTATTTATTTATTCCTCTCTCTGTCTCCCTTTCTTCTTCTATCTCTCCGTCTCTCTCTCTCTTCTTCCTCTTCCCTATTCTCTCTCCTTCATCACAATCCTCCATGCCTTTTTTTTCCTCTTCTTCCCTTCTCTCTCTCGCTCTCCTATATCTGTTTTTTTTTTCTTTCTTCTTCTATCTCTCCGTCTCTTTCCCTCCCTGCTTCCTCTTCCATTTTCTCTCTCACTTCATCACAATCTAAAACAACAAAACATAAAACCCACTCCATAATTGTTTTTGATTGATGAGTGTTTGTTCAATCCGAGCTCAAGTCTTATGCTTCTGGATCGGATTTTGAAATATTTACAGAAAAGAGCGCCTTTTCTGTTCTTTTCGAAATCATAATCTTATTTGTTGATGATAATTGTTTTTGATTGCTGAGTGTTTGTTCGATCCGAGCTCAAGTCTTATGCTTCTGGATCGGATTTTGAAATATTTACATATCAGTGGAACTTAGGGTTTATTTTGGTATTATGTTTTGAAATATTTAAATTGTTTCATTTTTGACACAGTTCAAGTCGCGATATTATGACAATTTAAATTGAGAATTGGACAAAAATATCTTCCCCGAAATATCCTCGAAATTATCGAGGAAAATATCGATAAAATGAAGATATATACTTGGAAGTGTGCTAAAATTTCGGAGCCCCAAAAAAAACGATATTTTTGCCGGTATTTCGGCGGAAATATCGAAATTTTGTACTGTGGTCATACTAATATGGATGACAATCCCCATAAATTGGTTTCCCCACACCATTACTCATGCACATGCCATTGGTAGAGTAGAAGGTGGGGGTGTGGAGTCATTGTTGGAAAAACAACAATCAGTGACTATTTAAAATAATTATATAAATAGAAATAAAAACAAACTGTAATACATAATATAGTATATAAACAACAGATTAAACTGACTTGGGAAAATCAACTGAAATCCGAAGAGAAACACATAATTGAAGCAAAAGATCAAAAATCTCAAGTCTAAACCAAACAACAACGAAGACGATAACAATAACGATGATGTGGCGAAAGAGGAGTAGAGCTCGAAGATGAGGAGTAGAGCTAAAAGCATCTGATCGAGGTTTATTCGAGGTCTTGAACAATCCGAAAAAAAGAAAAAATCAATAGAAGCACGATTTTAGAACAAGAAATCGAATGTGAAATGTAATAACCCAAACTTTAATTTATATTTAACTATTACTTTATTAAGGAAAAATGACACTTTTGCCTTTAGACTATTTTAGTATTTGAGAAGTTGACTTTTTGACCGGAGAGGAGTTTGGACATTTTGTTTGCACCGTTGCGTAGAGCGCGACGAAACGAGTTCGTAGACATGCGGCACGCTCGATTCCGAGCTGTAACGAAGGAGGAAAGGTCTATAAACCAAAAGGACGTAATGGGAATTTTAAAATTGTCAGTGCTACAGTGTTACTACAGTACCCGGGTCTATTTCTCCTTCTTCCTCGCACACACTCATCTTCAAGCCACAATTTCGTCGCCATCCGAGACCCGTTTTGAATGAAATTTGTTGCAAAAGTTTCGTATCGTTGTCCTCTACCTAACCCAGCTCAGGTCCGACGCCAGCCGCAGCGAAACCACCGGAAAACTCGAAGGAAGTTGCC